TCATTCAATCTTGTATACATATCTTGAATGCTCTCCTCCGGTTTCATCTTGAAAAGCTCATACATGTAAATGAGTCTATTGATTTTTGACTCCTTTACTTGGCTTGTTCCTTCATGAGTGACTTCTAGCATGTCCCACATCTCTTTAGCCGTATCACACCTGGAGACTCTATGATACTTCGTTGGATTGAGAGCACATTGAAGCATACTAATTGCCTTGTTGTTGATCATGATCTTCTCCAAGTCTTCATCATTCCAATCAATCTCTTCCTTTGGCACCTCTCTTTCTCCAACAATTTTCATAGGTACATATGGACCTTTCATAGTCACAACCCATGCCTTGGGCACATTTGCAAGCATGAAGACCTTCATCCTATTCTTCCAATAATTATAATTAGTACCATCAAAGAAAGGAGGCTTAGTGGTAGACAAACCTTCAAGTGGTTGAGAGGATAGAAATTGAGCCATTCCCGATCAACTCCTAGGTGGTTAAACCTTCAAATTGGAGCCCTTACTCTGATACCAATTGTTGACTCAATGTACTCCAAGAGGGAGGTGAATTGGAGTTCCAAAAATTCTCTCCTTTTTCAACCACAAAACCCAAGTTAAAGAGAGTAGAGAAGAAGAGCTTGCACAATGAATTTATAGAGGTTCAGTCCAACCATTTGGAGCCTAGTCCTCTACCTTGGCTTCACTCACCAAGGATTTCCTCCACACTCTTCACTAAGAAAGACAAAGGTGGCTTAAAGGAGCCACTCAATCCTTTTACAACAAGATGAGTATTTCTCTCAAACCTCACACCTTTACAATGTAAACGCCACAAAATCTCTCAATAGATCACTCTTGAAGGAATCAACACACCCCCAAGATCACTCACTAATAGAACAAGAAGATGATTACAATCAATGATCACTCAAAGATCAAAAACTCAAGTTAAAGCTCAAGTAGGTAGGGAAAGATATTTAATGCAATGTTCTCTAAACTTCTTCAGATCTGTTACAAACCATATTTATAGCCCCTTGCTCGAATATAGCCGTTTCTAGTCGTTGGGAGTCATTAAATGCTCTGCAGGACGCAAAGCTCGAGTTGCAGAATTGTCAAGAGAGCCGGCTTAACTTCATAGAGCCGGCTTAACTTCATAGAGCCAGCTCTATACAGCCGACTCACCATTTCTGCAGCCGGCTTTACTGGATTGCACCCCATTCTGTTTTTCTCGAGAGCCGGTTGCAAAACTTTGAGCCGACTTTGGAACTCCAACTTTAAATACATTAAATATTCTTCAAATAAGTTGACTGTTGTGCATTAAATGTGCCCTCATAGCCGGCTACGAAGTTGGAGCCAGCTCTGCTTCCATTTTCCGCGCGCGCCAAAACAGCAGTTGAATTTCTGGCCCGTAGAGCCGGTTCAACAAAATCTGCAGCCGGCTCTCTGCACTTTTGCTTCCCAGAGCCGGCTGCAATTTTCTTAAGTCGGCTCTCTACATATTTTTACCCTTTGAGCCCTTTTTAATTCAATCTCATTTTGCTTACTTTGCAGTATATTGGCAATTTGACTACACACTTAAAGAAATCAATTAGTCACTCAAATGTGTTTTGTAATCATCAAAATCAAAGGTACAACAAAATAATGTATTTAATAGTATACTAAAGTTGGAATTATGTCTAAATTACAAAGAATCCATTAAGATTTGATGTAATCTTCTACAATTAATGCATTAATTAAAAAG